ATAAAAATTATAAGTAATACTTGCATTGTAGTTTATGGTTTTGCAAAACTTCAGAAGGATGTTTTAATCTGCATAGCTACTCTTTTTAGTGATGAAGAAACAAGGACTCAGAGAGAGAAAATAACTTGTTAAAAACATACAAACTTTACACTAACTAATGGAGGCATGCTTTTTGCTCATGTCTTCTAACTCCAAATATGATGCTTCTCCATCTATGTCATGACACAATCATAGAGGAAAAGATTTGAAGTTCAGAAAGATTTTGTTCTGATAAAAGTCATACAGATATTTTGTGACATTTACTTTGTGTAATGTAACAAACATATACAGTTCCTTCCCATAGCATTAAAATCCTAAGAAAAGTTAAGCCTCATTCTCAAGCAACAGGACTGAACTTTATGAATTCAATTTTCTTGGTAAAAGCACCAGCTTTATCAGAGGTCAAAAGGATAGCTCTATTCTCAATAGTGTTTGAAATTCTGATATGTAACTAATTTTCTTTTTTTACCTTGACAATTTTTCAGATATAAATTTACTTTGTTTTTTTACAATTTTTTAACTTTTTTTTGTGGTTTGGGTGAAAGTTTTTAGAGTAAATTGATTTTCCATTTAACAGTTCATACACATTTTTTTTTTTCATGATATTGATCAGACATCCCACAATTAACTGTACTCTTTACACTTCCTTATATGGTTACCATGTCCCAATTTTCTTCTTGTCTCCTGAATCAAGTTACATTATAGAAATGAAAGGAACAACATGATTCCACCAATGAATATAGGTGTAGACTGTAAAATATCAGTTTAGGTAAATGGAAGAAAATAACAGGTCAATATTTGCCTCAGACAGCTTATGCTTATAAAGTATGGCTTGCAAGAGGAAGAATTGTCTTTGATTTGAGTATCTCTGTTCAGTAAAAGAATAAAAACTCTAAAGTATTAATTTTTGTTTCTAATTAGGCATGCATCTATTTTATTTTTCCTTCCATTTAAATACTAGATGCTTCATGAACGTCTCAGTGAAAGATCTGGTGGGCAGTATTCTGATGTTCTTGATTAGCTGTTGGTACGAGCAACCAGTTATTTTCCTTAGATATCCATTTATTCTTCCCAAGGATGAGAGCTGACACTTTTCTGCCTTACACACTGGCTGCATTATTTACCTTAAAAGCAGTAACATTGTGGGTCACCAGTCATGGGTGAGCAAAATTGGGAGATAACACAACAGTGCCTTTTCTCTCCCCACTGAGAAACAGATTGCTTATGCAGATAGTAGGTGCTTATTTTCACTTTCATTTAGTATCATACCATTCATTTTCAGTGAAATTTCACATGTGTAAATAAAGTATTTCATGAACTGAATTACTTTAAAATTTAAAAATTGCATTTAATACTCCCTTGCCTTTTTGTATTAAATAAATTAAAAAGAAATAAATGATCTTTTGATAATTCAGGGCAATCAATTTTATGTACATGAAATATTTTGGGTATGTCTTTATGCTTTCAAGGACCTCTGTTGACATAGAAGTTAAAGCTACTAACTGCTAACCAAAAGGTGGGTGGTTGGAACCCATAGCCTCTCCACAGGACAAAGATGAGGCAATCTGCTTCTGAAGCCGTGTACTGCCTTGGAAACCCTATGGGTAGTTCTACTCTGTCTTAAAGGATAGCTATGCTTCAGAATCAACTAGATGGCAGTAGGTTTGGTTTGGTTTACTATGCATAGGCCAAGGAGTTCTGGTGATGCAGTGGTTAAGTATTTAGCTGGTAATTGAAATGTTGGTGATTTGAACTCACTAGCTACTCAGCAAGTGAAAGATGCGGCAGTCAGCTTCCGTAAATATTTAGTACTCATAATACTTATGAGCCAGTTCTACTGCCTCTGCTATGAGTAGGAATCTACTCAACGACAGTGGGTAGGTTAGGTGAACTTTCATATGTTCAAATGTTTCAAATGTTCTGGAGTCTTAGGTACCTATGTGATTTGAGGATTTTTTTTTTTTCCTGTCCTAAGGGACAGCATTTTTTCCTGTTCTTTACAGCATTTTGGAGGTCTCCTTTCTTGCTGTTAAACTACCTACTTCCCTTGTTACTACTGGCTTGTTACTATCAGCTTTCATTAATGACTTGCTTATTTCTCCCTTCCCTTTTAAACTCATAGCTTTTCTTCTAATCTCTTTCAGGATTAGGGGCACAAACTCCCCATTCAGTCAAAAAACTATGTGTATCTTTCGAATCCCCCAAAACTTAACTACCTAAAGCCTATTTTTGACTGGAAACTTTATGATGACATAAACAGTCAATTAAAATAGTTGTTTCCAGGACAGTTATCAGATTTTCATATGAAGACACTCACATACACACGCAAGAGATAAGTTTATTAACTATGGAACATCATGATTATTCGTTATTCATTAAGCGGAAATGGATCATCATAAAGGGCTTCATCCTTATCCTCACACTGAGTAGAATTAGGAGGAAGAGGAAGCGGAGGAGTAGGTTATGTTGGCTCTGCAATGGCAGAGGCAGAAGAGGTTGAGGAGGTGGAAGGGGAGGCAAGAGGTGTAGGAACACTGGATGTAACTTTACCGGAATACATTCTGATTTCTTTCTGACTTTTTTGCTTTTTCATTTCTCTAAAAATGTTTCTATATGATACCATTTTTTTTTTTCCATTTGCTTTACTTTCAGTGCCTTTATCATAGAAGGGTCCATGTTGTAAAAGTCAAAAGCAGTCTTGAATAATCAGAACCCTTCTGCCAGATTGTCTAATGTCAGTTTAGTTTCTGGGAATGATTCTCCATCTTCTTTCTCATTGTCTGGCTCTGGTTCGGAAGCCCTCATCTCCATTAAATCATCTTTTGTTAATTCCTCTTGTGTAGTGTTTTTTAGCTATTGAATTTCTCTAAGATCCATATCTTGAAAAAATCCACATGTAAGTGAACCTGGACAGTTTGAACCCATTGTTATTCCAGGGGCAACTCTATTTCTTAATAAAAAGAAGAGTGTGATTGTAAGACAAGACCAATGTAGATTGAAAAGTAAGTAAACTTTAATAAATGGAAATTGTGTCATTTATATTGTTTCTTAAAAAGGTTTTACTTAAATTCAGTTTATTGTAACACTGGAGTTTTAATTTTCTAGATGTATGTCTCCTAATAAGAGATGTATTACTGTGCATTTGTTGCTTTTCTCAATCTTTTGGGCTTTATCAAAGCATTATCTAATAATGTTTACTATGGCAGATCAGGAAATTTACCCTCAAAGTCAGTAGAGCTATTTCTACAATCACAGAGAGATGGATCTACCCTGATTGTGACCTATGGACAACCTTTCCCAGTGGTAATGCATTTTATATTATTTGGGATTATAAAAATATATTTACTGTCAGCTTATGCATAAGCCTATCAAAAAGCTGTAATGTCCAGTAGGTGGACCTCAACCAAGTATGTAGCACCTCTACATTCCTTTTATCTACATGCTTTTATTTCTTTTTGCCTTTCTCACAGCTAACTGTTAAGGTATGTTAACTTTTGTATGAGGGACAAAAATTTCAGGTCTCAGTCTTATTCCTATAGCTCATTGAAAAAATTCATACCATTGAACTGGAGGTAGTCCAACCTAACAGTCATTAATAATGGGGCTACTTAGAGTTGCTTACTAGAAACTCTGACTCTTTTTCTTGCTATCTAATTCCATGAATCTGGAAAGATGGCTCTTGTTATGTGTTCCAACAGATAATAACACTCTATCTAGTTCAGCCTTTAAATTAACACATTGATTAAGCATCCTTAAGATATTGTAGAAAGTATATAAAGGAGAACATATTGCAATATATTTTCATGACTTTTTGTTGTGATCATGGAAAATGATCACATGTTAAATGAAAATTTAAAAAAAGCTATGTATCATTCTATTTATGGGATATTACCTCCATTCACCTTTTTAACATTTTGGAATTTAAAGCTATACCAAGGTTTGACTTAGATACTAAGTATGTTCTCTACTAAATATATCATAAATCAGGGAAATATTTTGAATTATTTAAAAAAAATAAAAACCACCAAAGTTCATTCCTTAAGCAATATATAATAATGTAGTCAAAAGCAGTATATACTTTACATTTCCTCCCAAATTTTTTTTCTTATACTTTAGGAAAATGTAAGTAAAAGAATAAGAAATCTCTAACTTCTGATCTAAAAACTTGAGAAAAAAGGGTCAGTAAGATTTTGGCCTATAATGATGGATAGAGAGGAGGGGAAGGAATGGCAACACTGATTTGCTAATAGTTAGGTATTTCACCTGAAAGCCAACCCTACTTCTATGCCATTACTGAGACAGGGAAGGTCTTAACTTGAGTCTAAGAATAACCTTTAGTCTTAACTTGAGTCTAAGAATAACCTTTAATACCTACTTTTCTGTCAATCACATTCACATTGAAAAGAAAGATATCCTGGCCCACTGAAGTTTTCTATCCAGAGAACAAAATAGGAGAAAGTGCTAATTATGTTAATTCATGTAGATGAGTTGAGAAATTGAAATGAGCTACTTTTTATATAATCAGAGTTAGATTGAAAGCCGCAGTGCAGCAGATAGTTTTTCCTGGTTTTGGGGAAATGGAACATGAGCTCAAACATGAGGGTTCTGATGATATATGCTCAAAACAATAGGGTGAACAGTCTTCTTTTATATGGCATTAATGTAAAAATTAATTAGGTCTGGAAAGTTTGTGCTTTTTCCTAAAGTGAAGTGATTCTTATTTTAAGGCTGGAAACAGAGTTAAAAGACTTCAACTGAAACAGGAGCATTCAGCAGTATGGGATGGAATTAAGGCTTTAGGTTATGCTCAGGGTCTTGTGGAAGGCATAGACTCATGAGACAGGTGACACTACCAGGGATGGAACCAACTGAGATTTTGTCATTCTGCTTTGAGAATCATAAAATAACTCTAATGCCCTTCATTTCTCTTCTTCCTTCCAACAGATAATATTTTTCAAGAAATGATCACATCAAATCATTCCTTTATGACTGAATTTATCCTTGATGGGTTAACAGATCACCCAGAGCTCCAACTACTATTCTTCCTACTGTTCCTTGGAATATATATGGTCACAGTGGTGGGGAATATGGGCATGATCATTTTAATTGCTATCAGTTCTCAACTTCATTCTCCAATGTATTATTTTCTTAGTCATTTGTCATTCATTGATCTCTGTTATTCCTCTGTCATTACCCCCAAGATGCTAGTGAACTTTGTGTCAGAAAGGAACATTATCTCCTTTCTGGAGTGCATGGCTCAGCTTTATTTCTTCCTTATTTTTGTAATTGCAGAAGGTTACCTTCTGACAGCCATGGCATATGACCGCTATGTTGCTATCTGTAGTCCACTGCATTACCATAGCATCATGTCTCACAGGGCTTGTTCCACAATGATGGGTATAGTATATACACTGGGTTTGCTTGGGGCCACAGTTCATACCACCTGCATGTCAATGTTGTCCTTCTGTAGGTCTCATACTGTCAGTCACTATTTTTGTGATATTCTTCCTTTGTTGGCTCTCTCTTGCTCCAGTACCTATATCAATAAGATTCAGCTATTTATTATTGGAGGCATTAATACCTTAGCACCCACTCTGGTTATTTTCATTTCTTATGCTTTCATTGTTTCCAGTATCCTTCATATTCGCTCCACTGGGGGCCGGTCCAAAGCCTTTGGCACTTGTAGCTCCCATCTAATCGCTGTGGGGATCTTTTTTGGGTCCATAACATTCATGTATTTCAAGCCTCCTTCTAGCAATAGTATGGAACAGGAGAAAGTATCCTCAGTGTTTTACACCACAGTGATCCCCATGCTAAATCCTTTGATCTACAGCCTGAAGAACAAGAATGTGAAGAGCGCACTGAGGAAGGTGGTTAGTGGAAAATAGTCATCCTGACAATGGTGATTCTCGTAAAGAACAAGAGAAAATGAGCCAGATGAAAAATTGTCATGAATTCTGAGTAATTTTCTTTCTCTTCCAGAGAAATTTGAGAAAGATTGATACATTTTTGGAAATAATCAACTAATTAGACCTTCTGAGAATCAATATAATCTTAGAAGCATTCTATGTATTAGAGAAGCAAGATTTATAGGAGGGGAAGGACAAATAAACAAAAAAAGAGTATAGTGAATGCACGCAGTCCCCAGATTACAAATGAGTTCCATTGCTAACTTTTTCTTCAAGTCAAATTTGTACATAAGTCAGAATATTTAGGCAAGGTTCTTATCTAACATTAGTTAGTCAGATTTTTGTCTTAGTATGTAATTTAGTGTAATTTTCTATTATTAAAAAAACAACCTTAAACTTTTAAATACACTAAAACATCTTTAACATAATAATACAGTAATAATAATAATGTTTTAATGCATGTGGCAAAATGACACCTGCTTGCTATTACAAACCTTTGTAATAACAAGCCATTTTTAATACAATAGGCTTTATGCAGATAGATTAATAATTACAAGTTTTATGTATGTTGGACATTTGCAACCCAGGGACTGCCCATATATTAATTTTGAAAATGAACTGAGAACTAGGGATTGAGTAAAAGGTTGTGCTTGAGAAGGGATGATTAATTGGATCAAAATTCCTGCATGCCTTTAATCTTTCTGAGTGGAGGAACTGTTTCCTGTCCCAAAGCCTTCAGAATATGGAAATGGAGCTGTGGGAGGTGTAGTATGTACAGTGAGAAACAACTTGTAGGTGGATTGTGTATGTGAGTGGTTCTGAGGAACTGGTATTGATTAAGTAGTAAAACACAAAAGAGATCAGCAGAAGGAAGTTCTCAGTAACATTCTCAGATTTTAGAAAATCAGAGATGAGGCAAAAACACTGACCAGATTACGAGTGCAAACAACTAAAGATCATTTCTAGCTTGGGATTCCTGTTCCAGAGCACAAGAAACATTTAAGGAAATAAATGAAATGAAGGAAGGGTGTGATCCTCCTGAGTATGGTTTGCAGATTGACAAATCCAGAGTGACAATCATACGATAATAAACAAAGTCTTGTTTCTATTCTTCTCCAATAAATTATTCTTTGGAGTCAGCATACTGGGTGTAACTCGTCAGCAGTATAACAGAACAGCTTTTGCATGTGCATACTTGTGCATGCATGTGTGTGTTTGTGAGTGTGTGTGTGTGAAAGAGAGAGAAAGAGAGAGAAAGAAAGAAAGAGGGAGAGAAGCTTAAGGTGAAGGTTAGGGTAAGAAAAGATAGAAGATTGTAAAAACAGATTTCTCCATCAATGACTTATTTCTGTGAAGATCAGTAATAACTACCTTGAAGTCCCAGATTATCTCCCTTGGAAAGTTCATCATTTAGGATGTGACTATCTAGGACAAAGTTTAGTAGGGTATAGGTCCAATCTGGGGAGTTGAATTAATTCCTTAATTTTGTGTTAGATCGTTTAAATGCTTCCAATGATATTTTCATTTCTCCCTGAATTTTATAGCTCTTACCTAATCACTGTGTAAGGCTGAGTTTCTGCACATCCTGGACTTTGTCTATATTTACCATTTCCCTTTAGAGTAAGGAAACTAACCTTCTTCAAAAACAAAACAAAACAAAACAAAAAACATAAATACAGTCTTCCTGGTGGTTCCCTGAGCTGGGCCCTCATTCCAAGTGTCAGTGCATAACCCCTGGATTACTCAATATTTAAATATGGAGTCTAGTATTGGAGGTATGTGTATGATATAGCTGGAATCTAGATACATGATTTAGCACCTCTTTTTTTGACAATGATTTGAATGAGGACATCAAAGAATTTTAAGTCAGATTTTCATATGATGTGAAGTTGTGAGAGTAGTTAATGCAATAAATGAAAGGATAGTGATTCATAAAGAACTCTAGAAGCTGGAGTGATGGTCATTTTGCATAGGTAATATAAGATTCTATACTACTGCAAAAAAAAAAAAAAGCAGCAGTGGGAGAGACACTGATTATTTTCAAGTAATTAAGAATTTCTGTTGACAGTACAATAAACAGTATGTTATTTTGTGCCATCAAGTTGATGCTGACTATAGCTACCTAAGAAATTAATGGTACCTTGTAAGGTTCAGCTACATTTTGTTTAGTATGATAAAAATTCAGTCATTATCTACACTAAAGAGCTTAGGCTATATCCATTTGTAAGTAATATATTTAGTAGATATCATTTTTCAGGAGGAAATTGTCATTTTGAAATATTTTCAGAAGAGTATGATAATGACAAAGGGTCTTGCAGTCATATATTCATATAAGTATTATTCTCTTAATTATTCATTTAAAAATATTTTTTGAATACCCAGCATATGCCTTGCAATATCCTTTTTTTTTCTTAGGTGCCTTCGAGTCAGCTCCAATTTACAGTGACCCTATTTACTACAGAAGGAATCACTGCCCAGTCCTGCACCTCCTCACAATCACTATGCTTGAGCCCAACTTTGCCACCACTGTGTTAATTCATTTCATTGAGGGTCTTCCATTTCCCACTGCCCTCTACTTCACCAAGCATGGTATCTTTCTCCAGAGACTTCTGATAATATAACCACAATGCAAGCCTGGTGATAAAGAGATGAACAAAAGTTACAAAGTTCTTGCCCCCTTCATTAGACTTAAGATGTAGTCACAATAAAAGACAATATAAAAGGAGACAAATACGTAATATAGTCTCAAGTTATACAATGTTTTATAAAAAAAGATAATAGGATAGATGTTGACCATAGTTATTGGAGGATGATGAGTAAATAGAAAGGCTGAGAATTAGTTGTAAAATTTGAAGTGTTCTTTGCAACTAAGTTTCATGGGAGAAAGTCACAAAGAGGCAGAGTTTGTCTCAATTTAAGGAAGACCATTTCAATAATCAAACTAAAAAAAACTAAACTTACTACTATTGAGTCGTTTTTGACTTATAAAGACCCACATTGGCTTTCTATGGCTATAAATCTTTACGGAAGCAGAGTGCCCAGTCGTTCTTCCACAGACCAGCTAGTGGGTTGGAACCACTGACCTTTTGGTTAGCAGACAAATGCCTTAACCACTACACCACCAGAGGCCCCTGCTTCAGTAATCAGAACGATCCAAAAAATTAGCATATCATCTCATGAAGTTGTGAGCTTTTCAATAAGGACTTAACTAGACACAGAGCCACTCCTTGCTTGGGATATTTCTGAGGAGATTTAAATATTAGCTGATATAATAAAATGGATCCCCTTGTTCACTTGCAACAGGGAGACTTTCTGATGCATTCTGTCTCAATACTTCCCCATCCCTTTTATCCTTCCTTTCAATTATTATCCTTCCCTAGCTTCCTTTCATTTCTCCCTTTCCCCCTTTCTCTTCTTTCCACATTACAAGCTCCTCTAGATCAAGGCTAACTGCTTAACCACTTTCCCCATTAAGACCGTTCACCAGTAGTCAATACTAGTTGTTATTGTTTGCTTATTTATTTATTTGTAGTTTAGGTCAATATTTACAGAGCAAATCAGTTTTCCAGTCAACGATTTAAATACATTCTGCTTGATAACATTAGTTACAATGCCTTCAATGTAACAACACTCTTCCTGCTTCCTCTTTGGGTTCCCCGTATCCATTTTGTCCTTCTTTTCTGCCCTTTCTTGCCTTCTGAGCTTTCTTTTGGGGCAAATGCTGCCCTTTTGATCCCATATAGTTAATTATTTTGATGAGTACATTCCTCACAGTGTTCTTCACTTTATAGGTCTGTCTGTTGTTTTTCACTGCAACCTTGCAATCCCAAGGGGTAAGTTCAGGTCCAGCTTTGAAAGGTGTCTGTGGGCCATAGTCTCAGAGGTTGCAACAGTCTCTATCAGAACAGAAGGTATGGTCTTTTTTATGTGTTTGAATTTTCTTCTACATTTTTCTCCCATTCTGTCCAGGTCATTCTGTGGTCTCAAACAGGATGGTTCATAGTGGTAATCTGGCACCATCTAGTTCCTCTGGTCTCAAGGGAGAGAGAATGTGGTTCATGTGCTCCATTAGTCTTTTGACCTAATTATTTCCTTGAGTCTTTGATTTTCTTCACTTTTCTTTACTGTGGATGGAGAAAAACCAATAGATGAATCTTAGATGGCCTCTCATTAGCTTTTAAGACCCCACTGGCTACTCACCACTGTAGGATGTAGAACATTGTCTTTGTGAGCTATGTTATGTCAATTGATGGGTCCTAAACTTCCAAACCCAGTGTTTCATTTCCCTAAAGTTTTTGGCTATGGCTCAGAAGTTTTCATAACTTTGCCCCCTGTTTGCTTTACTATATACATGGTTATATTTACAGCACATACAAATACATATGTAGAAATAACCTCTCCCAAACCTATATATGCTTATGGATGTCTTCCTGTCACCTATCTATCCCTGTTCAACTTGCATGCCTGGCTATATATCTACTCATGGATTATTGTTTGTTATTACTAATATTGTAAGATTCTATATGTTATTACTGATATTGTAAGATTGTTTAAATAGTATCTACCTTGGTTGTAAGTCTTGTGAATACCTCAAGGTCTTCTTTGCTGCAGTCATATTGTGCTGATCTTCCCCTTATTGTATATTACCTTTCCCTGTACTCAAATGAATATGTGTCACTTATTGAGTTACAGATTTTCCTTCTCCTTCCCTATCCCTGGTAATCATCAAATAATGTTTCTTTCTGTTTGTAAACATTTTCTTGACTTTTTATAACGTGGTCTCATGTAATATTTGTTCTTTTGTTATTGACTTATTTCACTCAACATGATTTCCTCCAGGTTCATCCATATCAAGAAGTATTTCATGGATGCATTACTCTTCTTTAATGTTGCATAGTATTCCATTGTGTGTATGTACCATAGCTGACTTATCCATTCATCCACTGATGGACACTTAAGTTGTTTCCATCTTTTTGATA